ATCGGGCTGGCCAGGATCGACGTCGAATCGGATCGAGCGGATCGTGCTGGACCCTGGAAGATGGATCACGGGAAGTACGATCAGAGGAAGAGGGGCCAGGAAGTGCGGGGAGGCTTAGTAACCCAAGCCACGATAACGCCTCGCCTCCCTAGTCATCACCCCTTCTTGAACGCCCCCCTGTGATAGCGAAAGGAAGAAATGCGTAAACATCGACTTCGACGGTCCGCGCGGGATTTGCGTGCGCCAGGGGCGGCTCTAGAGGCACCGCCAGGGGGTCCAACCCAGATCCAAGAAATCCGCACGGACAGCCGAATGTCCGAGTTACGCGAATGTGTTATTATTTATTCGATCTTAGGCGTCCCCGAACCCGTCCCTGATCATCCCTCGTCACCACTCCCCCTCAATGACCCTCGTGGTCTGGTCAGCGGGTCATAGTTCGGGACTCCTGCAGCCGTTCGGGAGACGATCCGAACACTCCCCCGAACGCTTCTAGTGAGGCGCACCCACTGAAGGCGTCCCGAGGCTGGGATATAGCCGAAAATTTGCGAGACCGCACGAAAACCTAGAACCTGGAACAGGCAACTCCCCCCCCTCCCTTCTAGAGACCTAACGTAACAACTCGGAGGCCCTCTCGGACTCCTCGGATCGGCGCTGGACCCCCCTAGCGCCGGAGGCGACGCCAGGGGGCTCCGGTGCCGATCCAAGAAATCCGCGCGGACCTCTGAGTATTATGTTTATGCCACCGTTTAGTTCTCTACCTGATCCTCCCTCGTCCCTCGTAAACAGTTCCCCCCGCCCACTCCAGCCTCCAGCTGCACTTGCCCCTGGCCGCACCATCACCAACACCATCACCAACACCATCACCATCACCATCACGATCGCCATCGCCACCACCCATCACCCATCACCCATCATACATCACCCGTCACCAACCACCACCACCATCGTCGTTACCGTCACCATCAACATCACCATCGTCAGAAACACGAGTACCATCGTAATCGCTATTGCCATGAACAATATCAATAGCGAAATGATACACATCAGTCTCCTCCTTAACCCTCTGTCTCGTCATCCATGCCGTGCTGGCCCTCATCCTCACGCCCGGCCCTCCAAACCCTTCCCCCCGCGAGAACGTCGGCACTCCAACGAAACATCCTGAGACTGAGATGCGAGAGCGCGGGGGGCCGATAGGAGAGGACAGGCTCAGGGGGAAAGGCATCGACATGGAATCGGCGATCCTTCGCCGATGGGTCGGGGATCAGCCCCCGACAGCGACAGCGGGTGCTTCTGAGCGGCGCGGGCTGTCGGACCCCGTCGGCGATGACTGGGCGACCTGGGGTCGATGCGTTCCCCCTTTGCGCCAATACCTCGTAACGCTGCCCCTGAGAGAAGACATCCGGGTGTTTGGAGCCTTGCCCACGTCGGTGAGCGTGCTGCGCACCTGCCGGCCGAACAGAACAAAGACATCGCAACTGCCAGTGAAAACGCGGCATCACCCGCGGCCGCGCCTCCGGAACGCGGTCTCGTGCGCGCATCGCTTTGAGCGCGTCTGCGGCTCAACAGAGCACCACCCAATTACACCAATAGCAAGATGAGCATGAGGACTTCGTCACGCGATGCGAAGCTCAATCGCGATCCTCCCCCTACCACATGCCTGTCCCTCATAGATAATCCCTCCCCTGCCACACACCCCGGCGTGTCGCGTGTCAGCAGAAGGGGGGGGGCCTGGCATGTTGCCTGGCATGTTGTCTGAATGTCGCGCTGAAGTTCGACATTCAAACAACGCTGCTCCCTTCCTGCTCCCCCTGGGGTTCCCCTTCTGCCCCGCCTCCTTCTCCTCCTCCACCACCTCCTCCTCCTCCTCTTCTTCTTCTTTTTCTTCTTCTTCTTCTTATTATTATTATTCTTCTTCCTTTTCTTCTTTTTCTTCTTCTTATTCCCCACATCCTGAGTGGGTTTCTTGTTTTCCCAGAACACCCTCTCCTTCCCACCCACCTCCCGCTCCATCTTCCATACAGCACAATATTATTCCTACCACACACACCATACCATACCATAGTTCCTACCACACATACCATACCATACCATACCATACCACACCATACGTACATACCGTACCACCATACTATTTACATGGTTTCGTGCCCCTCCCACCCCTCCAGGGAGGCCCCGCCTGAGCGAGGAGGGTATCGGAATACCATACTATTTACATGGTTTCGTGCCCCTCCCACCCCTCCAGGGAGGCCCCGCCTGAGCGAGGAGGGTATCGGAATACCATACTATTTACATGGTTTCGTGCCCCTCCCACCCCTCCAGGGAGGCCCCGCCTGAGCGAGGAGGGTATCGGAATACCATACTATTTACATGGTTTCGTGCCCCTCCCACCCCTCCAGGGAGGCCCCGCCTGAGCGAGGAGGGTATCGGAATACCATACTATTTACATGGTTTCGTGCCCCTCCCACCCCTCCAGGGAGGCCCCGCCTGAGCGAGGAGGGTATCGGAATACCATACTATTTACATGGTTTCGTGCCCCTCCCACCCCTCCAGGGAGGCCCCGCCTGAGCGAGGAGGGTATCGGAATACCATACTATTTACATGGTTTCGTGCCCCTCCCACCCCTCCAGGGAGGCCCCGCCTGAGCGAGGAGGGTATCGGAATACCATACTATTTACATGGTTTCGTGCCCCTCCCACCCCTCCAGGGAGGCCCCGCCTGAGCGAGGAGGGTATCGGAATACCATACTATTTACATGGTTTCGTGCCCCTCCCACCCCTCCAGGGAGGCCCCGCCTGAGCGAGGAGGGTATCGGAATACCATACTATTTACATGGTTTCGTGCCCCTCCCACCCCTCCAGGGAGGCCCCGCCTGAGCGAGGAGGGTATCGGAATACCATACTATTTACATGGTTTCGTGCCCCTCCCACCCCTCCAGGGAGGCCCCGCCTGAGCGAGGAGGGTATCGGAATACCATACTATTTACATGGTTTCGTGCCCCTCCCACCCCTCCAGGGAGGCCCCGCCTGAGCGAGGAGGGTATCGGAATACCATACTATTTACATGGTTTCGTGCCCCTCCCACCCCTCCAGGGAGGCCCCGCCTGAGCGAGGAGGGTATCGGAATACCATACTAT